CTGACTAAAACAAACGTACCTAACCAATTGTTGTTCCATTCAATGATAATGAACACAGTCTTTAAATCACATAAAAACAAAAAGAAGGCCACTTTGTAATAAGTTGCCTTTGAGTTGTTTTCTTTAGTTGGTTCATCAACAGTGTGATGTTTTGGGTCTTTCCTCACTTGCTTTTGAGTCTGTACCTTATTTGATGGCTGAAAGGTCTGGGAGTGAATATTTAGTTTTCTCTCCATCCACGAACATTGTGGTTCATGCAGGGAGGTTTACTTCTCAGTTACATGAAGGGACAATTTTAACTTATCCAATACAGTTGTCTGAACTTCATGATTTTGCCTACGACTGCCAAGTGGAAGCATATTCTGACTCTCAAATAAAACATCTGCTCCTTGAATTTCAGGGTTCTAAGGTGGAATTTGTAGTTTACTTGAATAAATCAATTTCCCATGTTGGGTTGGTCTGGGATTAGTGAAAGAGTGGTGCTAGTTATTCTGGGGTTGTATTCCCATTGGTTGTTGGGCCTGAGAAGACAGGAGATTGGTGTCCAGTCATCAATCTTTTTTTGTCAAAACAATGCCTAGATTCTCCAAGGTTCACAAGTTACTCGTTCCCCAATCTGAGTTGACATTTTTTACTGGGATTGTGTATGTCCAAGTTTGTTGTTGTCGGCTTCTATCTGTACACTGCCATAGTCCCACCACTATCAGCATATTTTGTGCACAAGGGTCAGGTACTGCAGTTCTGTATTTTTATTTTTGGACTAGCATTGGCTTCACATGGGTTTTGCTGAATCTTACAAGTTTTTTCTTGTCACCTTCATTCCATAGCACTGTGCACACACCACTCTTGAGATGACTGGTTACCGCTGGCACTATCTTGTCAATTGTCAGAACATCACATCCTGAGTCTACTTCCAGAAACAACAAAGACAAGCTTTATTATCAAGGCTGAGACATCTATTCTTGCTCCAGTTCAATATGTAATCAGTCTGGGTATTTTTATTTTTCATCACGTGTCTCAGTTGGGCTCAACTGACTCTCATCTGGTTCCATGCTATGGAACAGAAAGCTTGACTCTTACTCGCTTCTCCTTTTCTCACTGCATGGATGGTTCTTTCTCTTCTGGGAATCTAGGCATCACTCAAATCTGTCATACCTGAGTGAGAGGAAGTTGAACCCACTTCAATCAGAAGTATCAACTGTAACTCAATTTTTGACTTGGCTCTTTGGCAAGGGTTTTTGCATCTTCCACAATTGCCCTATGTAAGGCGGGCTTATTGACTACCATTTGATACATGTGAAAATATATCCTTTGAGTTCCCAGTACTCTCTGAATTCCTCAAATTGCTTTGGGTCCTTAGTCCCAAATGACCATTTCAGTTACCTAACTGGTATATTAAGGTTACATTACATGCCCTTTCTCAACATCTGTTTGTGACCTGATTCTCATATGCCATGTATTATCTTTACCTGAAGGTTTATTTTTCATTGTTCCTGACCTATAGACATCGCCAATCACGGGTTGTTTTATCATTGTACCTGCATCTTCAAACTGGTTCTTTTTTATCCAAGACACTGTCAGACAGGGAAGGGGATAAATCCTTTTCCCCAGTTCATCTGATCACTATTTCTTACTTCTGTGTCTGATCAAATTTTGATCATTGTCATGTTCAGTGAGGGGCTTGAAGGTTTTGTTGCCTGCACTAATGCCTTTAGAGTTGCAAGACAACAACTTTTTATTCTGGGCTCTCTTTGAAGGCTAGGATTCTTCTGTGATTCATGTCTAATCAGATTTGTCACATTTCTATGACCTTAGCAACCAGGTT